CCATACTTGGAGTTTTTTTCTAACTTTGAAGCTAAGCGATAGCAATCTGTTGAGCTTGTAACATATCGAATATTACTTGGAGGCTAACTCCCCCGTCTCCTACACCTTGAGTTCTTTGGCCACTAGTTCGGCCTTCTCTACGGGATCCGTATCTAAATCTATATTCAGATTAATATGTGAACTGACATTGACCGGGTCAGCAGCAGGCACTTCCCCAGGGTTAACTGTTGGCACCCTGACCCCTGGAGCAATTATGTTGTCATTTTCTCCGTGGAACCCAAGACCGTCATCACCATGTAAGGGCGCATTCTGTTAGTTTGACATGCTTTATCTTGAAAACAAAGAATCTTTGACAAGAACAAGTGTGAAAATAACGTGTGTTATCAGAATCAATATCGAAATAAAAACTATTATCTTTAGCCCCACGGTAGGCGCCAAACTGTTTACCTCGAAAATACGAGTAACAATTAAACATGTTTGTGGTTTTAAAGATATGTGATTTAATCCAATACTAATTGATAAACAAGGAATCTAATGTACAAATTTAAGAGTAAGGCAAGTCAAAACCAATCGTGTAAGCAGACCTCAACCTCGAGCAAAGGCGGCCTCGAGGTAAGTAAGCAAGAACAATAATAATAAGATGATTCAGATGAGCAATAGGTAAGAAAGTAAGAGAGTATATTCTTTGTTAATGATTGATGATCTTTACAAATGATTTGGGTCCCCTTTATATAGTAGGAGAACCCTAAATAAGGTACATTTCTATTTTCAGTGAGGAATCTTATTGGGACAGTTGTCTAACCGCCTAGTACGGATTAGTACTAATTCGTACAAATCTATTCCGGAATTTACGCCATGATCTTGGGGGCGGGGCGGGAATCTTGCTCATTCTGTTACAAACTCATAACGTCCCCATCTCGGGATTGGTCATACTCGGCTTCGGTACTCATCATGCACTTCGATCTTCGATCCTTATATTTTGCCCTCGAACTCGAACTCGAACTCAGCCCATACTGAGTTTATCCCTCGATGCGAGCCCTCTGCTCCTCGATGTGAGCCTTCGAGCCTACAAAATTGGGGGTACATGATTTTACCATATACAATTCTATCAATAATATATATGATAGTTGGTGGTGGTGATGGTTAAAGTAGGTGCTTGTGAGTGCTGATTAGAGGCGGTGATTGGTGGTAATTTTGATTGATGGTGGTGGTTCTGGGTAGTAGCTAGTGGTGATTGGTAGCTATAGCGATTATGGTTGAGGATGGTGGTGGTGGGTGGTGATAGTTAATAATAGTGGGTGGTTGTGATTGAGGAAGATGATGGTGGGTGGTGATAGTTTATAATGGTGGACGGTGTCGGCTATGGTTATTGATGGTGATAGGGTGGCTGGTGGTGGTAGTTGAGGTGGGTGGGTGTGGTTATGGTTAGGGATGATGGTGGTAGTAGTGGGGTGATGGGTGGTTGTAGTGATGATAGCTATGGTTGTGGTGGTGATAGTTGATAATGGTAGGCGGCGGCGGTAGTTAGTAATGAATGTGGATGATAGCATCTTAATGAAATTAATAATGCTTTATAAAATAAAAAAAAGCACTTAATGATTAAAATCTGAATGATTAAGATTCAGACTTTCAAACGCACTTAATATCTGATATATGAATGATTAAGATTCAGTCCATTAAATACAAACAAATGAGGCCAGTATTTTAAACTAGTAAGTTAAGAGTACTATTATACGGTTGCACCTACTATTCTCATGCGATGATACCTGCGACGTTCATACATCGTACAAAATTATATTCCTTCAAATTTAAATATATAGTTCGACCAGAAAATAATGATGAAATGCAACTGACTTGTTAAAAACTATACTTACAAAATTGTGACTAAACTTTTATGTCTTCTCGCGCGGCTGATCTGAAGATGATATATAAGATCAGTTTGAGACTGAAAGAATCTTGGATCAACTTAAATTGATCAAGATTAAAGAAAAAATCGCTTAATAGAACAGATTATAGCTCTAATTGTGAAGCCAACAAAGTCGCATTGGAGACGTATATAAATTACAAAAATAGCTCATGTTTTCAACATATGTCAAGTTATGAGATTTCTTAAACTTGCCAGAATAAATTGTCCATTTTTTCAGCAATTGTGAAATCCCATAACATGTCAAGTTATGGGATTTCTTAAACTTGCCAGAATAAATTGTCCAATTTTTGCGTTTATACTACTTTAATCTTTGATCATGTAGCGGATAAAAGATAGTATATTAGTAATTTTGCATTGTAGAATGAAAATATCAGTTCAATTATTTAGAAAAGCTCAGATTATATCCCAAGAATTTTTTTATTTCGTAATGCTTTGAATTCATCAAAGTGATAAAAAAGAGTTTCTTCAGCTAAACTTTCACTTCAGTAAATGACATAGAAGCAAAGAAAAAAGAATTGGTTCAACTACCAATATCTCTGCAGACCAACGAGAAAAAAGTAGAAATAATTGGTAGAACTACCAATTATACAGAATTTTCAATTATTGATGAAAATACAGATATGGCACACAGCAGATTAATCATTGTAGTTACTTAATTAATAATAATATAATTAATGGGGATTATATTATTATTTCGTTAACTGACTGGCATAAATGTCTTGTCTTAGTAAAATGATAAGTTCCATTGTTGTTTTCAACGTGCCTTAACAGTTCTGATGAAAACATCATTGACAAGAATTAACCACTGCCGTTTATGGCAACCTGCTTTATTTCTGATAATTTAATTGTTTGACACAATTTGTTTATTTGTAACTATAGTACTTCTTTTGACCAAAAAAAAAACTATAGTACTTCTCCCTTTGTCAAAATCATCTGATTTTCAATGATAAAATTTACATATTTAAAAATAATATTAGAAAGATAAATCACTACTTTTTGGAGTTAAAATGCTTGAAAAACTCGTATTAAAAATGAATTGTTTAACTTTTCATATATTAATAATGTCATTTTTTTGGGGGAACGGAAGAGGAATTATTTACGTTTGACAACCAAATATTTAGACTATTTTCATTTTCTTTCATGTCCTTTTCCTGATTTTGTGCTTTCGGTTACTGGACTTGCGACATTCGGGTTGCTTCGCCTAGTTTGTATTGCTCTTTTTCACGATTTAAGGTGCTCCCATTTCGCTCGTTGGTTTCCTCACTCTTTTAAGAATTTGATTACAGACCAGAAATAAAAACTTCGAGTTTCGACTCTACTTCTATGATTGAAAGGTGTGGATTCTTGTTCCAAAATTTAAGATGTAATAGAAGGGGAATTCTTTATCTTCTTGTTTTCCTTAACTAATAGTACTAATGATGAAAACGGGTCAAAAGAAAATGAGTCCAAAAGACATTTGTTTCGACAAAGCTGCTGTATGAATTCCTAGGAATAGCTGAATTAGCTAACTCCACACTTCTACACATGTTTTTGTGTGTGCACACATGTTTATGTGCATGCGTATAAAGTAAACAATTCATTCAAGCTTAGCAACAAAAGTAAATTCCCCTTACATAGTTTTTATAAGAAAAGAAGTGAAAAACTAGAAGCATATAACCTAATAGTTTTATTACCCAAGGATTAGTTTTGTAGTCTACGCAAGATGGAAAAAAAATTAACATTATATATATAATGTAATTTTCGGCAAAAAGGGTTCAGCCGAATCCCCTTCCGCCCACCTAGCTCTGCCCCTAGCAGGAACACAACTACTACATCTCAACTCCAATCAAATTAGAGTCAACTATATAAATTCGCATTGTCCATGTTACTCCATTTAAATTGATCTTCGTCTAATATTCTATAATTATAAATTTAAAAAAAGGCACTATAAATTCTTTATATTTTTTTACTAACATATAAACCTTTCGTAGAACTATTATGGAGGAACAAAAAGTTGGAAATAATAGCATAGAAATCCTCTAACATGGGCCAGGGGTGAAGTGTACAATATACTTGAATTTTTTCCAACTAAATAAAAGATACAACTTTAAGGCTATAGTACAAATAACAACTCTTGCAAAGACAGAGAACAACTAAAAACACCAAACCTGGTCATTAAATTATTCCCCATCTCATTTTTCTATGTGTAATCTTGTCGTTTCTCTCTTTCTCATAGCCATAAACAGACTCTTAATGTCCTCTAAACTATTATAAGAAGCAGAGCCTGCACAAGATTTTTTAACATTTTGGCTCATGGATGCTACAGTATCAAAGGAAAATGGTGCAAGATCAAGAAGTTTTCGGAACGAAGACTACAACAACAGAAGAGTTTTCTTGAGAAGCTATCCACTTCACTGGGGAGATTCAGTTGAAGATGGAGAAAACAGAGAAGAGACTGCAACAGAAATGCCAAAAAGTAAAGAGAAGACTTGCATGAAGAAGAAATTTATACTAGCAGTTTTCCATTGGAGAGGAGAAAGCGCTTTAATCTTTCGAAGGATCAAGCATAAGGTCACAGTTTACTTCATTACTTGTCTTCCTGTTGGATTCAAAACTCCTACTGCAATGATTTCAGCTTAATATCATTATAAAAAACTGCTCAATAGTTGAAATTCCATCTACTTTACTAAGCATATATTATGCACAGTTATGTGTTTTCGGTACAGCTGAAAGGCATGTACAGAAGAGTATAGTAAGATGGATGCTAACTTGAATAGAAATATGTACCTTGGTTTTATAGAATATAAGAGCACTTCTTTCACTGTCCTGTACCTGAACAAGCAAACCTCCTATCTGCGTAAAACTGATCCACCGGTTAAATTAGTTCAAGCTGCCAGAAATAGCTTAAAATCTCAGAAAAGTGCCAAGTTAGTTTTGTATAGCTGTTCATGCAGATGTGATTATTTGATGTGTTTATCAATGATTTCAACAATAATTGGAATGTATAAGTGTGCTTCTGTTGGATTGCAGATCAACCATACGACTACTTTGCAATGTTCAACCTACCATTAGCAAGCTGTGCACTACCAAACTATGATTCTGTAACTTTGACATTTGTTGCTAGAATAGAAACTGTTTCAACAAGAACAGACTAGTTCATTGCTTTTAAATAGAGTTAAAAACTTTATAACAGAAATCTTATTCACAATAAGAGTTCAGACTAATTGTTTCCATGATCATATATCGGCACTAAAACAATTTTATCTTAAAGCCAAGTCTCCAAAGTCTGATATACTCCAAATTGTACCTAGGCTCAGGAGCCTGTCCACAGCCCCCACTGTCACTACCACCTCCCCGGATAAAGAAAATGAAGTTTATATGCCTCTTCCGATCTTGCCATCTCTTCATATCACAGAGGCAACACCAATTTCTGGCACAATATAAGATCGGATAGAGTCTTTCCATGCCTATCGATTCTTCTTGAGCAGTTCACACCTCCATCTAGAATATTACGAACCACAATATTCAAGGAATGGATCCCTCTGACTTCATAAATCTCCACCTTAACATGTTCATGAACCCATTTGTCTCTTCTTTCAATATCATCAGAAGTGGGGAAGGAAGAGGGATTAAGAAGCCTTGCAACAACTTTCTTTACCCATTCTTGAGTAATAATCTTCTTTAGCCTTTCAATATCTGGAGGAAAATATGGGATAAGGGAAAAGTTTAGATCATCCCCTTTATCACCAGCTCTGCTATGTGCGACATCATAGAGAGGAATCTTCCTGTCATGTGGAGCAGGGGACAGCTGAATTTGTGGTGCGCCTTCTTTTTTGTTCAAAGCAGTTTCTGTTGGAATAGATCGCAAGACCGAATCATGGAAAGAACTGGTCTGCATTATGTCCTTAGGACTAGCCATATCATCTGATTGCATTATTTTGTTTCTTGTTGCTGTAATATGCCACTGAACATCTTTACGGTTTACCTGATAGATCATAGAAAACTCTTTAAAATTCAGTGTATACATTAGTTAGCATTTTAGCGTGAAGCAATCATTGAGAATTCAATAAAACAGCACACAGTAGGAACCACCTCACAATAGGAGAGAATTTTTATTCTTGTCTGTTTGAGAGAACTCTTACAAAATTAACTAGCAGCAAAGAATACAAATCACAACAGAGTAACAGTTTATGAGAGATTGTCATGTCCGCATCATGCATAAACACTCACATGCAAACACACACAAACACTCACATATAAATGAGATATAGGGAGATGGAGATACCAATGCCTTCTCAAGAATGATCTCTTTTTTGTGTCCAGTGCTGCCGTACATTAAAAGAAGATGAAGAGCATTAATATATGTCACATAAATATGTATTTAACATACGGAAGTACTAAATGAGTAAGAGATGATCTGGGGCAGGAAAACTGAGACACCTATCCATATTAAAATAACGAACTGCATGTCATGAATATATGTTTTGACATAAGCAAGAAGCGGTGTTAAGTTTAGCAAGAGATAAACTGGGGAGTAATACTAAGACACGTTTTCACATCAGACGATGACATGTGATCATATAACCTGCAGAAATAATGACTATTTCAAGCCTTTGATCATTGTGACCAAGAAGAGCAAAAACAGTTTTGCATATGGTAAAAACTCAACCATACACAATTATGCAGGTAAGGATTAGAAATACCCAAATTGCTGCCGCATTTAGACGTTGTCTTAAATTTTAGATGCCCTTAATGTGAGGGTTGAAATTGGGCGAAGAAACTGATCTAGCAAATGACATGAGACTGGATATTGCAACTTCCAGATTGGAAACAACCGCGCAGATCAAATTGCTCATTAGAGCATATCATACCATGAAGTCCCTTTTCCTGACAAGATGGGTTCTCCAAAATCAAAAGAAAATTCACTGTGGAACTCTATCTTATAGGTATCTTTGGATAATAAATTTTCTTAATTTTATAGCTAACTAATACTGTGAAATACTTTCAATTACTTAACTATTGAACAATGAATGTAACAGAAACGATTGAGTCATCTAGAAAATAACTAAAAGCAGTCTTCAATCCGACAATTTTCTGAAGTTCTATGACTCAAAAAATAATATGAACAGAGGATGAAAGAGACCTGATACCGCCACCACCAGCAGGTCCATTTGTATATAATGCTATGAACTCTTTTGTGAAGTGGATTGCTTGTTCCTCCTTCTCAAATAAACCATCCATTCGTAATCTGATATCTTGAATATCCCTAGGCAAATCTTCATCTATGCTGGCAGCCTTCAGGCTATCCAGTCCAATGATATAGGAAACTAAGTTTTTGTTTGTTCCAGGACATACTTCTTCCATCCATGATCTTACCTGAAAAAATGCAATTAGAAAATCAAAACTAAAAACTCTACACTTCTTAATCTAGCATTCCAGGAGCCAAGAATAAATTTAAGGAAAACCATAATAGCTGTCCCGGAAAGAGAAATAAAGACTTGTTACCAAAAAATCAGCAGCTTTAGCACGTTTAACACACTGATAACCACCATAGGATACCTCTCCCCAGCCTTTCCACCCCTTGTCCTGAAAATGAGGCAGTCGCCAAGTAAGAACAAACAGAAACATCCATCAATCCAGCTGTAATAAACAATTGCCTATAGAAGACACTTGCTGAAGGAGAATGGAAGGAAAATGATACTGAGAGCAGATAGTGATCTTAAAAGTACAAATTAACCTTTTGCGAACTAGCCAAATGAGATTATAGTGGTGCTACTGTGTTAGGGTAACACATCCAATAAAAGGTCGTATGGTCTAAAAGATGGTATGCAAAGTAACAATATTATTATATTAGGAGGGTAGCAAAATCCAAATTAATTATGAAATGGAAGTGTCGGTGAGAGCGTTGTTTGATGATGCATGGGATTCAATGGCTTCTATCTTGTTTTTGTTCATGAGATTAAGGGCGACGGAGCAGATGGCATAAAGAAAACCGGTTACAGTTATATCTTTGGGCTCTTACGATTATGACCTCCCAGATTCAAAACAAAATACTGACGAAAGGGACAAGGCAAGAGCAATGGGGTGTTGAGCTTATGAAAAGCATAGGTTATATTAACCAAAATGTTGCGTTAGGGACCACATGACAACAGAGAGGAAGAAATCCTTCCACTTTCTCTCTATGTTGCATATGAACACAGAGATTACCTTGGAGACCAGCAGCAACAGTTTATTAGGAGCTGATGCAGATGGCTTTGCCCCAGCACAGAAGACTTTACTGCTTGATAATGTCTGAAACGAAACATCTTGAAAATCTACAACCTGTGCCAAGGAAAAGGCAAGGTAACACTCTTCTCTGATTGAAGCTTTTCATATTCTTTCCCTTTTCAATCTAGATAGCCAATACAACTTGCACATTTACCACATCTGGGGTTATGTAGCTACTAGGATCCCCCACTTCATACAGAAGTTGCTCGGCACACGTGCTGGGATTTAGAATCCCACCACTGTTTTCTGCCTTTTCTACGCATACTCGCCCATCAAAACTGACTTCCACAAAAGGAAGAGACAGATCGAGGAGATCTTGTAAAGATATATCACGGTATTTATCTCCTACAGTGACGAAAGTACAGTCAAGTTACACGTGAAGTGACAAATAGGAACAGCGGCAGAGTAAGAAAAACCAGAACAATAAGTAAGGCAAGCCAAAGGTTAATACTAAATAAAGAGGGAGTGAAGTCTTTTTCAAGATTATGGTTCAATGGGTATATTCAGAATCATTGAGATACATAGAGAAAAATAAAGTTCTCAAAGTGCATTTTATTGGAGCTAGTGGAAGGTAATCCCTCCAACCCTCAAAAACACCACAATATACACGCATCACGCTCCCTCCTATAAAGATGCACAACCCAGAAATATTGAAAATGAAAGGCTAACCTGGATGCATATAGTATCCTCCAGTAAGTTGACAACCACATTCTAGCAAGTGGCCAGCCAGTGAACCTTGGGCAAGTAGTTGCAACTCATCCCAATTCCAACCGAGCTCATATACCTGATTATAATAGGGACCTTTAGATATACTTCTAAAGAAAGATGTGACTTATTTCAGTATTATTATATCAGAAAATTTTGTATTAGTATTGAAGAAGTGGTGCAACAACTCTAGGAACTACCCATAAACATTGACACAAAAGTATAACAAGAATAACAACAACAAACTCAGTGTAATCCCCACAAGTGGGGTCTTGGGAGGGTAGTGTGTAAGCAGACCTTACCCCTACCTTCAAGAGGTTGTTTCCGGAAGACCCTCGGCTTAAGATAGGTATAAATAAAAAATAAATCCGGTCGCCTTCAGACCCAAAATGATCCAAGGCAGTCTCTAGGAGGAGAGTCTTTCGCCTAACTGTTAATCTACTCCAGTTGGCGATTTTGCTCACACACCACATTTGGTTGCAGTAAGCTTGTTATTTTTCCTATCAAGCCTCAATACAACTGAAAACTCAAATTTCAGTTGGATCTTCAAGATTCATTAATTGATTAAAACACCACCAAAAGGCAAGCTTTCTGCCTGGTTTTCAACTCTGATTATCTTTCACACCAACCCAAAAATCAAAAAGAATCATTCCAACATATCCAGTCTATTACAGTTTAAGACCGGCAGCAGGAAGAGATATGTAAAGAAGCCATGCCCCTGAGAACGTGAATTTGAAGACCTCACAAGCTTCTGCTTCTTTCACTTACAAGATAGCTTTGAATTATTTCGACCATCAAGTGGTGACAAGAAGGCAGTTTCCACCTTATACCCTCAGGTTGCAGCTAATTTCATATAAAGCTGAAGAATGCCCCTTCCTTCTAACACTCATACACCAGTGGAAAGTTGCAGGTGTCTAANAAAAAAAAAAAAAAGAATCATTCCAACATATTTAGTCTATTACAGTTTAAGACCGGCAGCAGGAAGAGATATGTAAAGAAGCCATGCCCCTGAGAACGTGAATTTTAAGACCTCACAGGCTTCTGCTTCTTTCACTTACAAGATAGCTTTGAATCATTTCGACTATTAAGTGGTGACAAGAAGGCAGTTTCCACCTGATACCCTCAGGTTGCAGCTAACTTCATATAAAGCTGAAGAATGCCCCTTCCTTCTAACACTCATACACCAGTGGAAAGTTGCAGGTGTCTAAGTGTCTGTTTTCATTCTAAGCTCTAGGATGCGTCCATCATAATCATAGATATACTTCGACAAGCCAAACAAAAATTGAAAGGGAAAAGCTAACTTTGTTGTACACGAATTTGACTTCTTAAACAAATTTCAATGGCTTTAGATAATATCAGTTTGCAGTTGCTTACGATGCGGAAAGTTGAGTGGATTTTCATAGTTATTGCTCTTAGAAATGAAGTGACCATAAATTATGCTGTGAAAGGATTATATTTGGTACAAGAGGTGAGCAAGCACTTTAACAAGTGAAAAGATATATGTGACTGTCAGGGAAATTGGAAATGAAAAAGGAATCTACTGTCGTACCATTGGGGCCAAAAATAAGGAAGCATCAGCAGCTCGAGAAGTAATAATGACATTTGGTCTGAATTTCTGAAGACATTCAACGATAGGAGCTGCTCCTAGATACACACTAACATCCTGCAGAAAAAGCAAATAAAAGGGATGCTACTATAATCGTAATACTTATATAATCAAGGATCTGCAGAGCAGGGAAGAAATGATCACTCTATTAAGATTTAGCATATAAACCCACCTAGAATCATCAGAAAAATAAGAAACACGACCTACATAGTACAATTTTTGTCTTTGATGGAATAAATGATGCTGACTTATACCACTGAAAATACTGTATATTACCAAAATCTTACATCAACATGTCTAAGGTGCTCCTCCAAATCTGAATGTATCCCAAAAGAAATCTATAAGTATGACATGATTTTTCTGCTTAAAGGAAGAATGAGGAAATCGAAAGAAATTTGCAAAAAGCAATTAGTACATCAGTTTATTTTCATCTGTGATATTCGAACTACACCTGATCTGACAACAGCAACTTGATGAGCCACACCAACAGTTATGGAAATACCCAGTCCACTTGCAAGTTGTAAGACTTCATCCCGGGCACCAAATGGATCATCTATTCCCCATATTGTCAAAGAGAAAATATTTATTCTTTGGCGAATACATAGGCAATTTCTACACAAAAACAAAAAAGAGCAAGAAAGACAGAGGAAGGAAATTTAGGAATATCACATACTCGCACCCATGTTTGTAATAATGCAAACTCCATTCTCCACAGCCAAAGGTAAGAGCAGTTCCATCCACTCTGAGACTGTATCAATGTTTGTAGTTATCACCAAATAGGCAAGTTATCACATTACTACCATACTGATGAATAGACAAACCACAAATAGGTACTTGAGATGCATATTTGTAATGACACAAAACTAACTACAGTATGTGATAAGAAAAACATACTACGGGGATCATAGCCCTTGCCACCAGACTTCATCGCCTGATAGCGCTCAGCAAGGGTGCGCTCGGCTAGGCATTCCAGCACTAAATAATCCAACTCTTTCACCCTCTGAAGTAGTTTTAAAGCTGCTATTGGTCGATCACCTCCAAACCCAGCACCACAACCTATGTAAACCTTTTCCTTTCGCCTTTGAGGATTCACTCTCTGCAATATCACGAAGTATTTTACATGTCATTAGTTTCCATTTCCATTTTCTCATTCTCATTGATGTGTGTAGTATAAAAAAAAAACTAACCAGTCTGATCTCACAGTCATAAATCTCAGGTGTGTCATCGCCTAGTTCTTCCATTGGAACCTGATAATTACAACACGATGATCAAGCACTAAAAAGGGATCTTTCTATTAAAAAATTAGCGACAAAAAAGAAGTGTTCATAGTGAGGTGCAAATCTTATTCATATAAACAACTACATGAAATGGGCAACTTCAATCAAATGAAATTGTTATAACTACCCCTTTCAATGGTTCAATCAATTCCTTCTGCTTAACACTGCTGCTAAAGATCCTTTGATTTGCTATTCACTTCATATTGAAGCCGGAAATTGTTTTTTAAAAAAAGTAACTTTAATCACTTATTTTCTGTAAACCATCTAGTTCAGTCTTAAACAACTACTACTTGGGATCATCTAAACAATTTTATGGATTTCATCCACAAAACATGCAAACACACTGATATATCAAAAGAACAGAAAAGAAGAAGAAATCTTTCTTAACTACACAGTAATTAATGCACAAAAGAAGTTGCATACAAGAACAGAGATGCAACATAAACAAGAATTCAATGAGAAAAAAATTAGGGAATCTTGAAATTACAAACCCAGATTGAAGAAAATGCAGAGTTGGTAGAATTTGGTTTGTCTACTCGTTAGAGAATTTTGTCACTGAGGGATAACTTTTGCAGTCGTTGCAACGCATATCGTAAAGTTTGTTGGACCAGTTTAATAATTGTACTATGCCTGAGGGAGTAAAATAAAAAAATTCAAGGAAAATTGCAGAAATTACATGTGTTAGGCTAATAAATAGAAAAACTAAAAGAAATACAAAATATTAAAATGAAATAGTTTAAACTTAACAAGAAAGATTGGTGATACAAAGAACAATACAATTTTTAAAAATGAATATTATACCATAGCCAATTAAAAGCAATGTTAAACTTTACATTTTAAATTGCTTAGAAAATCTAAAACAAAATCATAACCCATGAAAAGTTTCAGAATTTTTTCAATTTCTTATTATTATCTCTAGAATTATGTTCTTAATTATTTAAAATTGCTTTTGAGTTGAACTGTGTCTATACGGGAGCAAATTTCTTTCGGCTATATTAAGTGCCCGTAAAAATTTGTTTCTTTCATTTTTAATTTCTATTGCTTTTCTAGTATAAAGGCGTAGACATGTTCCACGTAGCCATTTTAATGGGCAGATATTTAGAAATTAACTAGTGCGTCTTGAATTTTAATTTTTTAGTTTAAATTTTTAGGATAAAATATTTTAAATTATCCTGAAGTGAAAATTTATAGTTTAAAATTTCATGACAAAATAAGTACTGACTGATCTCTAAATAGCATCCATAAAAATGACTATCTGTGCATTATTCTAACCGCAAACAAAATTATATTATTTTATTATACACTATGTTATCCTTTCGATTCTAACTGTAATAGTTTATAATTAATAATCCTCTAGTACAATATAAAAAGCTTTTAAAGCTACTCGGTAAAATGTGGTGAGGGAAATAATTTTTTATATTAACTAATTACTCATAATTAGTTAACAATTTATTAACAATTTAATACATCATTATTAAATTAACAAAAGCAAAGTTTAAGCATCATTATCTAAACGCACATAGGCAATGAGAGAAATGTAAATGAGCATTTAATACATTAAGATTGTGATTTTTCCGGAGGAACTTCCCTTTCTCCTTTATTAATAGTAGGATTAAATAGTAAGAAAAAAATTTCTGTATAATAAATTGGAGAAGTTAAATGTATAGGTTGTCAAAATTGGCACACAATTTTGGGACTTGCTTAAAAGCCTCCATATTTTAATTTTCAAATTTGAACTACAACGAATTTGACTCAAAAGACTCTGAAAAAGCATCAATTGCTTTATTGGATTCCTAAGGTCGTTTCTACTTGGTTTAAGACTTAGGAGTAGTATGACGTTAGTCACGGTGCAAAATAAATTTGTAAGGAAAATATGTCCATTTATTACCACTGAAAAGAGTGGGGTCCACTTAGAAGTTCAAATTTTACATGTGTCAGTATCAAAAGCTAAGTTGGTCAATCTGCTTTAACACAACTCACTTTCAAAGAGTTAATTCAAGAGGCAAGCTGATCAACACACCCAAATATTTAAGTAGCAGTTACAGTAACTATATTTGTCAGCCAATAGAATTATTTTATTTTTATGTAAATACAAAAATACCCTCTGACCCGAATTGCAGCCGGATGCAGCTCATTTTTTTTCCCGGAGGCACCTCTCTTTCTCCCTTATTAATAATAGGAATAAATACTAAGAAACAATTCATGTAAAATAAATTGGAGAAGTCAAATTTATAGGTTGTCAAAATTAGCACACAATTTTGGGACATGTTTAAAAATCTCCACGTTTAATTTCCAAGTTTGAATTACAACGAATTTGACTCAAAAGGATTTGAAAAAGCATAGTTGCTTTGTTGGATTCCTAAAGTCATTTTCAGTTGGTTTGAGCCTTAGGAGTAGTATGACATTAGTCACAGTGCAAAATAAATTTATAAGGAAAGCATGCCCATTTATTACCACCGAAAAGAGTGGAGTCCACTTAAAAGTTCAAATTTTACGCGTGTCAGGATCAAGGGCTAAGTCGGTGAGTCTACTATGACACATCTCACTTTTAAAGAGTTAATTCAAGGGGCAAGCTGGTCAACACACCCACATATTTAAACAGCAACTACAGTAACTCTATTTGTGACCCAATATATTTTTATGTAATTACAAAAATACTCTCTGACCCGAATTGCAACCGGATGCAAATCATTTTTTTCCGGAGGCACCTCTCTTTCTCCCATATTAATAGTATGATTAAATAGTAAGAAAAAATTTCTATATAATAAATTGGAAAAGTCAAATCTATAGGTTGTCAAAATTAGCACACAATTTCAGAATTTGTTTAAAAGCCTCCATGTTTTAATTTTCAAGTTTGAGCTACAACGAATTTAACTCAAAAGACTCTGAAAAAGTATCAGTTGCTTCATTGGATTCCTAAAGTCATTTCTAATTGGTTTAAGCCTTAGAAGTAGTATGACGTTAGCCACAGTGTAAAATAAATTTGTAAGGAAAGCATGCCCATTTATCACCGCTGAAAATAGTGGGGTCCACTTAGAAGTTCAAATTTTACACGTGTCATGATCAAGGGCTAAGCTGGTCAGTCTGCTATGACACACCTCACTTTCAAAGAGTTCATTCAAGGGGCAAGCTGGTCAACGCACCCAAATATTTAAACAGCAGCTACAGTAACTTTATTTATCAGCCAATGGAATCATTTTATTTTCATATAATTGTAAAAATAACCTCTGACCCAAATTTCAACCGGATGCAACTCATATATTTTTTTCCGGAGGCGCCTCTTTTCCTCCCTTATTAATAGTAGGATTAAATAGTAAGAAAAAAAATTCTTGTATAATAAATTGGAGAAGTCAAATCTATAGGTTGTCAAAATTGACACACAATTTGGGACTTTTTTAAAAGCCTCCATGTTATAATTCCAAGTTGAACTACAACGAATTTGACTCAAAAGACTGAAAAATATCAGTTGCTTTGTTGGATTCCTAAAGTCGTTTCTAATTGGGTTAAGCCTTAGGAGTAGTATGACGTAGCCACAATACAAAATAAATTTGTAAGGAAAACATGCTCATTTATTACCACTAAAGTGGGTTCCACTTAGAAGTTCAAATTTTATGCGTGTGAGGATCTAGGACTAAGTTGGTCAGTCTTCTATGACACACCTCACTTTCAAGGAGTTAATTCAAGGGGCAAGCTGGTCAATACACCCAAATATTTACACAACAACTACAGTAACTCTATTTGTCATCTAATAGAATTATTTTATTTTTATGTAATTATAAAAATACCCTCTGACTCGAATTGCAATCGGATGCAGCTCATTTTTTTCGGAGGCACATGTCTTTCTCCCTTATTAATAGTATGATTAAATAGTAAGAAAAAATTCATGTATAATAAACCGGAGAAGTCAAATCTATAGGTTGTCAAAATTGGCATACAGTTTTGGGACTTGTTTAAAAGCCTCCATGTTTTAATTTACAAGTTTGAACTACAACGAATTTAACTCAAAAGACTCTGAAAAAGCATCAGTTGCTTTGTTGGATTCCTAAAGTCATTTCTAATTGGTTTAAGCCTTAGGTGTAGTATGAAGTTAGCCACAATATAAATCATGCCCATTTATTACCACTAAAAAGAGTAGGGTCCGCTTAAAATTCAAATTTTACGCGTGTGAGGATCAAGGGCTAAGTTGGTTAGTCTGCTATGACACACCTCACTTTCAAAGAGTTAATTCAAGGGGCAAGCTGGTCAACACACCCAAATATTTAGACAGCAGCTACAGTAACTATATTTGTCAGCTAATAGAATTATTTTATTTTTATGTAACTACAAAAACACCCTCTGACCCGAATTGCAACCGGATGCAGCTCATTTTTTTTTTTCTGGAAGCACCTCTCTTTCTCCCTTTTCAATAGTAGGAAATTTGATGAAACCCAATAATATATTCACAAATAATATTTTTGTTTGACCAAAAAGAGTTAAACTTTTTGTTAAACTAATTAAATAAGTAGACTTTAGGTAAATCTTAACCAATGATAATTTGCTCTAGATCTAAGATAGAAGAGGAGAGTAAGCAAGCATAACACACATAAGATTTTACTATAACAGTGATTGAATCCCATCATATAAGAAGAGGATGGTAATTTTCATAATATCAAGCTACAATTAAGAATACATGGATGAAAAAAGGGTCATCGATCTTTAACAAGGTAGAACCCTATCCATTTGATGTGATGAGAGTAACGATATATATTGATGATTTGAGCTTCCTTGCTTGTTTTTGCTTCGTGAGGAGAGAGAGAGAGAGATGAAGGTCCTCCTTCCTCTTAGAGAGCATGTTTCTGTCTATCTTCGTTTCAGCCCTCCTTTCTTCTTTTTCTCACTTCGTTCATTCTTTTTTCTTTACCCAACGGTCATTACCCATAGTACTTAAGTCGTTTGATTATATTACGGGCTAACCCCTTAAAATACCGTAATATCCAATTCGCCTCTCAAGCGCTTTGAATACATGACATCAGTCGTGGCCGAGGTGCGTATCGTTACAACATGATATGGATACGACAATCCCAGGTAACTTTTCTTTGTCCCCTCTCACGCCGATTCTTGTCCGGTTAGATTTTGACTTATAGAGTTAGTCCCTCCGCATGTTGGGGTCACCTCTTGGCAAGCTCGATGGGCGGACTCTATCGATCCGAAAATTAGGAGAAATCTGAATGCTTTATGCAAGGGACGAATATCTCATGGCGAGGTAGAAACGTGACGTTTCGAGAGCTGCGTCAGACCATCACGTCAATTTAGAATGTCATTAATATTTCTCATGCGTCATTATGGCGCACATTTTCTATGTATTACGCCGTTTCCCGTGCCCTTTCCGTTTTCTAACTGGCAGCGCTTGATTTTCCCGCTCAGAGCATTTATATCCCTATAAATAAGGAAAATCTCTCATTTGAATGTTACGCTTCTTAATCGCTCCAAAGAGAACTTTGCAACTCTTCTTCTTCTCCTCCAGTTTTTCATATTTCTGTTTCTGTTAGGATTCGCTGTGACCACTACCTTTTTCCCTTATCATTCTCATTTCTTTTGATCAAAGGAAAAATGGCTAGTGCTTCTTCCCTCTCTGTTAGAGCTGTTGGT